CGCGTGATATATTTCCCAAAATGCTCAATTGAACTGTATTGATCCTTTCATAAAACGAACAAACAAACAAAAAACAAATAAACATCGACTTCCACGTACGCGTGCTACCGTATTTGTAATAGGGATACCGCTAGTGCTCGAAGCTCGAGCCCTCATGCAAATAACGGCAATTACGAGCGGTATCGATCATCAGGATGATTACTGTTTTTGTCGTATCGGTTTTGATAATGATAAATAGCAAATAATGTTAAAAACCCTAGGAGACTTACACGAAAAGTTAAACTATTCTAGTATCTGTTTTTGCTGTGAACCAGTTAAAGTGAACTAGTTAAATTAGTATCAGTTTAATAACTTTGCCAGGTATAGCAAGTTGTCGAGTGATTTAATAGTGAATGGGGTGGTTGCTAAGAATGGCATAAGTGAAATAGACAGGTTCCAATTTCAGAATATCTCAAGGGATAGGGTTTTTGAGGCATTTTTTAGAAAAAGCAACAGACCTATTTTTTCTGGATCAGTTTTTCATGCTGATAAAGATATTAAAAGATGACAGCTCAACGGGGTGGTCACGACACTGAATTTTAGCGTTTTTACCCCCCTGTGAAATTATTTTAGGGGGTACTATAATATTAGTTCATAACTCAAAGGATATATAAACCATTGTTCTAAGTTCTACAGCATACATTGTTAGTACAGAGATGAATACTACCTTAAAGTTATAGGTTGATATCTTTGTTGGTTTCGGAAAAATACAATTAATTAGAAAAAAATATGCAATTTTTGTCATTTTTTCTTGCTTATTTTATATTTGTAGCTTCAAGCAAAATATGATAACTTAAACAGCTCAAAGTAGTATTCTAACAACATTCCCAAGGTATATGTGATATTGTAATACATCTATTATAGTGATGAAGTACTATTTTGTAATTTTAATATGACTTTATAGTGCCCTACCCCTGGTAAATAGAAGAAAGTTGGTGTGGTTTTCTTCTGGTTTTAACATTTTATTGTCTTCTTAGTTGAAGATACAATCAATTCTGTCAGTTAACCATGAGTAGCTTTACAATGGTTAACTATTCCCATGAATAGAGGGTTGGGACCTCAAAAATACCAGAACTGTTAAGTGGCATCCTTGGGCAACCCTCTTCAGAGCATTTTCCTTATATAATCCGATAAAATCTGCAGGGGACACTATAATAAACCTATATATCTAAGATACTAATGAAGAATACTGAATTCAAATTTTCAGGATTTGGTCCTGGTATGATAGGTAATCTGTATGACAAAAATGACAAAAAGAAAAAACTCTGTTGCCATAGTAACAAGAATACGACACTATTTGTTTCCTAAGAAATGTGTTTTAAGAGGTTTTGTCATTCTCTTCATATTTTTAATTCTAAATATGTCTACAATGTGGGATGATTAAAATCATGGTAAAGTAATCTTTTCTATTGTTCTATTTTTCTCTAAAACAGAAGTTGCTATGGCGACACATAGATCATAGAAAAAATCCTGGGATGATCGCCCTATTTGTCAGGAAATTAAAATGGAAACTGAAAAATGAGTTTCTTCCTACTGAATAGCAATTTGGTAGACCAAGGCTGACACGCACAGGAGAAAACATCTATCAGTTCTATGTCATTTTGTTGTTATTTTTTTATTTATCGTGCTCTGGGACTTATAACACCTAATGCCGAATCCTTTCCAACTGCAAATGAAGCCAAGATTTTAATAATGAACATTCATATATCTCAACAAACATGGCATACGATTTGGACAATGATGATGAAACTCTGAGGGAAAATTAGACGAAACATTAATGTGAGTGGTCCAAAAATAACACTTACATGTTTTGAAAAAGTTATGCTCTCGGGTGAATCAGTGCTCATTTAAGGATAGTCTGAATCAGGTGAATTTTTTAACCTAATTGTACCCCTCCCCAAAACCCCCAAATTTTGACAATTGTCGAAAAGTGGCAAACAACAATTAAACAAACATCATTAAAATTAAATATGGCTATTTCGCTTCTATGTCATAAAGATATGGTACGATCTCAGGTCAATCAATAAATTTCACAAGTGACACTCTATCTTATGAAGAAAATATTATCGTATTTGAAGACATGTCAAAAATTTGGTGGAAATAATTTTGTCACTCCTGATTTGACCTGGAAAGGTTCAGGTAAGTTATCACAAACAATTTCAGACAGTTATATCTTTGATTATGACTATTTTCTGACCATGAAGTCAGGGTATACAGGGATAATAAAGTCAATCGGACTCGGAGATATTTCACTAGCAATCAACCCATCAATATATTTTTTCAAAGTTGTTGACCTCATTTTCACCAAAAATGCTATCATTTTATTAATGTTTAATGCATTACTTTTCTTAATTTTAATGTATCAAATAGCTCTTGAAAAGAAAACCGAATTCCCCTAAGATTAGTGTTCCCCATGTTATTTCCCCTTTGAAATAATTCATGCTATCCATTGGTTTCAGTTCATTTTGGTCATCCAAATTCAGTGTCTTTAAAGTCCCAGGAGCAATCCACTTTTCCTCTTAGGAAATAGAACATGTCTCAAAGCATATTCTAATTATGCATTCAACAATATAATTAAAGGTTGCATCTTTGGTGAAAATTAGGTCACCATTTTTAGTAAAAAGTATGTTGATTGGGCCATTCCCTTTAATATCACTTAGGTCTGATTAATCATTATATTTACTTTTCTTGAAGATAATGAATAGATCTAAAAGATATACCCATGTTCATGGTCAGAAAATATTCATAATTCAAGTTAGAATTGTCTGAAGTTGTTTGCGATAACCTACATGCTCCTTTATAACATTATTATGTAAATACAGTAGAACCTGTGTAAGTGGAACACTCCATTCTGCCACAAAGCGTTCCACTTAGAAGGTGTTCCACTTACGGAGGTTTTGGGTTCGCAGGGAACATACAAGATCAAATATAGGATTTATATGTATCATTGGAAATATGATTCTCCCTTCATTACAGGGCAGGTATACCAGTATACCATTAATAATCCATTTATTTTACTCAAAAAGGTATCTGACATTCTTAATCCTCCTCATTCTGCCAAAAATGTTTTCTGACATTCTTAATCCTCCTAATTGTGCCAGTCTCAGGTACAAGGATTAGGCAATTAAGTTTTAAAGACTTGTTCCTACTGCTAATAATTCAATTGTTTTTAAATGACATTTTTAATCTTACTTATTAAGTTTGAAACAAACAGCAAGGGATATCAATTAGTGGTAGCATCACGTGTCCAGTTCTACAGGAGGTTAATCCAATTTTCTGAATGAAAATCTTATGAAATCCTAATTTGCTGATTATCAAATTAATTGTTGGTTGCATCACATGTTGACCATTAGGTTAATCCATTAAAATCCTAATTTGCCAATTATCACAGTATTACCTGTTTTCATACCCAGATATCATTGAGGGAGATTAATTCTGTTTACATATATCAATATTGAAATCTATGGAAATTGACTGTTCCACTTAGCAGGTTAATTTTTCAATATGGGGTGTTCACTGTTCATGTTTGGAGGTGTTCCACTTACAGAGGTTCAATTAACATTAAGTCAATGGGTTTTTAAAACAGGACTTTGAAAAGGCGTTCCACTTGGGAGGTGTTCCACTTACAGAGGTGTTCCACTTAGCAGGTTCTACTGTACATTACTTGTGCATGATGACCACCATAGTCTAGTTGCTCAAATGAGATCAATTGATGATTATAATGTTTAGACTTTATGTCAATGTCCAGACTGTATGCCAACCTCTCTAGTATGTGATTACACTAGATTTCATTATGATACATGTACTTAATTGAAAACTTACATATAAAATATCTTAAGTCCTATATTCTAGTAATAAATGAATTAGAATGTCACCTAACATTTGATGATGGTATGAATTTATTGATTTGGTGTCTATCAATACATGTTTCTAACTTAATGCTGCAAAATGATAAAATTCACCACATTCACTTTCTTCAATTTTCCAGGGGTAGGGCACTATAAAGTCATATTAAAATTACAAAATAGTACTTCATAACTAAAATAGATGTATTACAATACCACACATAGCTTGGAAATGTTTTTAAAATACTACTTTGAGCTGTTAAAGCTCTCATATTGTGCTTGAAGCTACAAATATAAAATTGGCAAGACAAAAATTGCGTATCTTTTTCCTGTTTTTTATATTTTTCTGAGACCAATAAGGGTATCAACCCATAACTTTAAGATAGTATTCATATTTGTACTAGCAATGTATGGTGTACAACTCAGAACAATAGCTCACATATCCTTTGAGTTATGAACTAGTTTCATAGTACCCCCTAGAATATTTTCCTAGGGGGGTAAAAATGCCAAAATTTAGTGTCGTGACCACCCCGTTGAGTTGTCATCTTTTAATATCTTTATCAGCATGAAAAACTGATCTAGTAAAAATAGGTCTGTTGCTTTTTCTAAAAAATGCCTCAAAAACTTGAATTATTTGAATTGGAACCTGTCTAAAAGCAAACAATGCTATGTGAAATATACATTCCATACGTAGATATGATCCCTTTGTTGCCCCCTTATTGTTTATTTCATGTTTTCTTGTAGAATTGTATAAATCCCTGTGATATGGATTAATTGTAAAATATTTTATTGTAGAATAATTGGTTGGAATTTTTTTTATTGTAACATGTAGAAAACACTTAAACAAACAAAAAACAAACAAACAAACAAACAAACAAAGGACAACCAAAGGAGAAAACTTAGAATAGGCGAAAGCCTTTTGTCCGATCCGTTTCGTTAAACTGTATCAATGTAATATATAGACGAATAAAATATTTTTAATAAAAGATAAAACAAACAAACATTGATCAGTTGATCACTTGTAAAATGCTGTATTCTAGAAAATTTCGTCAGGAATGTTTTCTTATGAAATTCGAGAAAACAGTGTTCAATTGATTTATTATATTTTCTTTACAGAAAGCGCAGACAGTGGCTTCTGGCAAAGGAATGACAAAGTTCTCCGACATTGGGATCGATGTAAATAAAGGAGTGAGTTCATTCTAAATACCATTCTAAATACCATTCTCTAACCTTGGTTTACCTTATTTCAAATACACACTACCATACCACACTTTGGGTAAGAATAGTTGTTTTTATATAAGGTAATAACTTTATGTTGGAGTCGTTTGACCTTTAGTCAGGATGTTATAGACCAATGTTATAGATCTATTTTTAAATGTTAAGGTTTTGAATTATATTCTATTCAAATTCTATCACTGTTAAATTATATATCTGCTTTATATGGGCTTATTAGCCTTTTGTTGATTATTGACATAGACATATGATTGAAACGAAGAAAAATCATAAAATGATTGAGTGGTTTATAAAATTGAAAATGTAGAAATTGGAATTACAGTAATTATACCCTACCATGTTTTCACAATCTTTTTAAATGGATTTATACATATTTCTGACCCAAAATATGTTAAGCTTCATATTTGTTATGGAGTCTTTCATCATTATGTCATTTTGTTCATCAGTGTGCCATTTTGTGTAAAATTTACAAACATGCAATTCATTGTTATGTCATATGTGTCATGGTTACCATGTCGTGCATTGTTATGTTATTTTATTAAATAAAATTAATGTTTTTTTTTCAGGGAGGCTGAGGTTAAATAACGTGTGTTGGTAGTTGCAACCCACCTTCAGAATAAACGAAATCAACAACCAACGAGCTAATAATCCCAGATGGTATGATCTTTCTGAGTGTTTTAAACAACAATTCAGAAGAAAAAATGGAAAAGTCAAGAAGAAATTCGATGATAGCTATTCATGTATTTTAATGGATGCAACGTCAAAATGGATGCAGAAATGATGGAGACTTTCAGAGATATTGAGAACTCTCTGATTTGCTTGTGTACTCATATACATGTACTCATGTACATGCTAGATTACAATTTAGTTGTTTAAGTACTTCATGTGTCTTGGATTATATTGAATTTTTGCTTTAATTAAAAACCAAATGATCACGTTTTTCAAATTCAAGAATTATTAGGTCAAGTTTTTATTTTATTACTTCATTATATCAATGGATACAACAATTGGTTGAGGAATTCTTACCTTCACTATGTTTCTGTTAATTATTTGATCTACGGCTGCCGTACGGCGACCGTATTTTCACAAAATGGATATAGAAATCTACATTGTACTGCCTATCCCTATAATATAATATTTATTTTATCCTGAATATTTCTCTCAATTTTGGGAATGTACGACCGTCGTACGGTTGCCGTAGATCAAATGTAATGAGGCCTTCGTACACATGGATTAAGCCGTGGTCGTTTTGTGAAGGATGGGCTGCCGATGCACTCGTTGACCTGTTGTATGGGAATCAACACCATGGGTCCTGAAATCTTTTCAAAAGCATGCCAATATTTTTCTTACCATCCTAATTTTTTCTGAAGAAGAATTGTAACATTTGACGAAATATAAAAGTCATTGAACAATTAAGATGCAAAAATTTCCGAATTTATCAAAACGTACACGAAGACTTTCACTTTTTCATTTTTTCAGGATAATCAAATGATTATCCTGAAAAAATCGGAACTTTTGGAAATAAACATGACATGCAATAATGAGAGTAGAATTGTTACAATTTCTTCAGAAATTTTTCTCATTTTGCACTGTTCAACATTATTTGGCATTTTTAAACATACATATTTGGTATTTTTATCAAGATTGCGTACCCATGGCTTATGACGATGTCAGTTGAAATACGCAAAGTAGAAGTGACATTTGACTAGATTTCTATTAAACAGGTCTTGTATTATAACATACATGTTTTATATAGCATTGTATTATTGTATATATTGGTATTACTGTGTCATATTACTATATTCTAGTATATTATATTATGGATCTCAAAGGAAACATTTAGATTTATGATATATTTAAAAATAAAATGTAAATAAATATCATGATTTTAATAGATTATAATCAACTGCTTATATGTTGTGTAGCATAGAGTTTTAAATATGCCCCATCTAGTCGGTTTGATTCAACAGAGTGACATACCCAAGTCTGTTAGATTTATCTTAAAAGCTTATTTAATTATACGAGGGTCGTCCCAGAAGTAATGCACTATATGCTCTAACTGGGACAACCCTCGTATCTGTGACTTTTGCTCGAGTTGTCCTTGGTGGATTAGTGCTAGGTTCCATATATATCATTTTAGAACCATCCTATGTTGACTCAATATCGAATGAGAAATGCACAGAATAATTTAAATTAGAATTTCTCTAACAACCGTATCGAATGCTATCGAATGGATATTAGCCCCAGAAACCTGATCGAAATATGGAATGCTGCACTGATGGCAAAAGTTGATAGCCATTCTCATATTACTGGCATTTCAAAGGTTACTATTCTAGTATTGATTTTCAAATTAACCTACTTAAAGGCTTAGACCATCATAAACACCGTCAGCATTATGTAATAATACTTGTGTTTTAGACAATTTACATTGGATCTGATTCCTAATGATAATAGGGAGTTTAAGCTTGCAATATTTTTATGAATATGTTACTTTCAACAAGTACAATGTATCTACCGGTTTACTGTCGATATTGTTCTTTAGCTCTTTCGATTTCTTGTCAACTTTTCTGGGTAAAAACTGGCATGCCATCTATCTACTTTTTAATCTTTTTAATGTTTTTGTAAGCATGTCATCTTTATTTCAATTTATCTTTAATCTTACTATATCGCGGTTTTTCACAACCTAAACGTGATTTTCCCGGCGTAACAAGGCCAAGGCCCGCATACTTTTCGACACTTTCGAAGTGGGCTATTTTCTTTATGAATACGTTGATATTCAGCATCTACTAAAATGTACGTAATTAGGTTATCAGGTTATGCCCACCTTCAACATCAACCCATGACGCTTAATTTCTAAGAACACCTTCTAAGCTGACGCTACTTAGTCGGGGTTTCTCTTTTAATAGTTTATCCACGCCATGACGCATGCGTAACTAATATTTATAAACGGACACTTTAAATTAAACATTTATATATATTTATTATTCCACAAGAATGTCTGGTTCAGCAAAACACTTAATTGTTTATTATACGATCTGAAAAAATCTTTCAAAGAATTCACAAGATCTGCGTCTATTGTGGGATGCCTTCGACCTTTCGACGACCCCATACACAAAGGGTATGGGTGTTTCAAAGTTTGTATACAAAAGAAATCTGGATTATTTGGGTTTACAGTAAATTTTTCTTTCGTAAAAAATCGTTTTACTCCTATGAATTTTTCAATTTTTTCCATTTCAATCCAAGGTGTTTTTGCGAAGGAGTCTCCATCTATAAAAAGCAAATTTGGTCTGGGGAACATTTGCAGCCAAAGTACCATATGCCTAACGTAAATACTTCTCTGAGTAGCAGTAACGAGAGGATTGACAGAGCCATTTTGAAAGAAATATGAATTTCTAAAAGTTATATTCATGGTTTCCTTTAAAACTATATTTTGAAGGTAGTCCGAAACTAATCGATCAATCGGGTCACGTGCTACGAATATGATCTTGACGTCATCATCCGGGTATGCGGCCTTGATTCTTTCGCGTGCAGGATGTCTTGTGAAACATCCAGAACATCGTTCAAATATGACTCTTTCTTTCATAGTCTTAGCGAGACTTTCAATTGTGTCAATGTGCCACTCTGGACCTTTTGCGTACATCCAGTCCTTGGTGTAATATCCCGTAGTCGCGTCACTGTGTATAATGTCAGGATGTTCCTGTATCCAATGTGCCGCGGTTGTTGTTCCACTTTTAAAAATCCCACCTAGAATAACATCAGGTTTACGCCTATCTCTGAATTCCTGATTCAAGTTTAAATCTCTCTGCCGTGTAACAAGGTCATTGAGATCTCGCCTAGTACTCGGATAGAACATTTCTTTTAGAATATGATTTCCCCCCAGTTGTGATGAGTCAGGGGGCATGGTATACACTTCCATAATTCGCTCAGGGGTCAGAGGTTCATCATCGGAAAATTCAGGAACAATTGGAGCCTTTTTATCATTTACATTATGGTCATTATCTTGGCTAGGTGTACTTTTCGTTTGATCACTGACATTATCAATAGAGTTCTTGGATTCATTTTTTCCTTCCGGAAATACATCAGTTTTGTGAGATAGATTTATGAATTTTCTTAGTGCATCGACGTCATTTTCTAAGCCATCTTCTTTGTTTGGTAAGTTTATATGCATTGACGCACCATAAGGTAGATCATTGTTTTCCTGGATATCAAATCCAGAAATAGCTGTCAGATTTAGGTTTGAGGTAAGGGTGTTGCGTACGTCTTTATCATTGGTATTTCGCACGTTTGTGGGGCCGTTTTGTTGAATATCTATGGGGCCATTTTGTCGATCATTCCTTCGAAGTTCAATATAAGGATTCGTTTTGTTGACGAGTCCCAGGGTCAAAACACAAAAGGCGGCTCCAAGAATAAACGTTCTTCTTGACGCAGAACTTCGAAAACACTGCCATGGCGCATATCTATACATATTATGTTATGAATACATGGAGTAAAAATTCACTTTAAAATCAGCCATACCTTTTAAAAGTGTACATTTCTGTTTTGATCTCAATCTAAAAATTGTACGGGATTTCAATTTGTAACATTTAAATCTGGCTGCAAAATTGATTAACAATTTGATATTTCGTTAATTTTTCATTTATCACTATTATAGACAGATTTATAGTGACATCAAATACCAACAGCTTTACAAATGATATATAGTAAACAAGGCTCTATAGTTATTTCGCCTTCACCTAATCTATTCCAAGCAACCTACTTTGCCTATTGTCCAATATTTGCCAAGTTCGGAAAATCAAACGTTGGAAATATTATCTTCATAATGTTATCTAATAGGAAGTTTCTTGTAATTAGGAAAATTAAAATTAGGAAAATGATAACATTTAACTATTTGGCAAATTAACCACTCAGATTAAATACCACTTATACAGTACATTTTTTGTACTTTCTGTGCCTGCCTTCTATTGATCAGAGACATATAAAACAGTTTTATATGTCTCTATATCGATTTAAACCTACTTATAAGTCATCTTGCAGATTATCATTTGGCACAAAGTTAGGCAATATAGTCCAGGTTTTAGAGATACTCTCGGTTTGGAATTTGATTTTTAGATAAAGCTGAAATTCATGCATTTAGACCATCGCTTTTTTACATTGACGTAAGTCGTCAAAGTAACATACATTGGTAATGTAACGGACGTTCGTCAATGTAACAAAAGCGACGGGCTAGATATATGAATTGCAACCTCAGTTACAAAACAATTTCCAAATCGAGGAAACGTATTAAAACTAAACTATATTTTTTAGCTTTGTGCCAAATTATAATCTGCAGCTTGACTTATAAGTAGGTTTAAATCGAGAAAAGAAAAAACTCGTAACCAGGAAGTTCATCCATTTTGTTACATTGACGTTCCGTCAAAGTAACTAGTTGTGGAACAGTTGTGCAGGTGTTGACAATTTATAAGTACCAAATCTCACCGACTTTCGTCACAAAGGTAGACCAGGACGCTAATGGGAGAAAGTCGTGTGTTGATATTGACTTTACATGTAACAGACCATAACCAGATACGTTTCGTTATTGAAATTGCATCCTTATGATTATGATCTTAACGAAAAAAATCAATTTTAGAATATTTTTAGCTTATATGATTCCTTTATATACTCGTATATATATTATCTAAAATACTGTATTTGAGGAAAACTAAAAATTTCTACAATAATGCATTTAAATGTATTATTGTTCTATTTTTTATGGTTACCATTTTTCATTATTTGGGAGAATTTAAACAAGTTTTCCCCATTTTGGCACATTGAATCTTTATTAACTTCACCAATTTATAAATGTATTGTGGATCTTTTTAATTTGGAATATAATATATTTGAGATTGTAAGGAATGTATTGGAAGGTAAAAACAGGAATTCCCAAATTAAACATACATGTAAATTCCAAAATACTACTTCTCATTGTTAATTTTATCAAAGACAATTATAGCTAATTCCCTCCTTCTTATCCATCTCTAGTATCCTATAGTCCCGTCACACCTGCCCTAGTCCAAGACCCTGCCTGTTCTGCCACTTCTACTTCCACCTGCCCCCTATTCTTATATAATGCCATTGTGGCGATTTAAAAAAAAGAAGGTAAATTGTACATGTTGCTTGCAATGAACTGGTTCTTCATATCACAAACAAACAAAAATATGATTCTTACAGCAGCAATTAGTCCACATATTTTCTTTATTTCAATTTGTAATGTATGAACGCCAAATACACTACCAACATCACTTTCCGAGAAACATTTCGGGGTTTTAATATGACATAAAAATCAAATAGAGCAACAGTCCAAGATGGCCGTTGCAACAGACACGTTTAATCGCCAGATTTGAGAGACGTAAAATGTTTTTATTTTTAACAATTACAAGACCCAAATATTGCCCACCAAAATTGGCCAAAGCAGCATATATTTTATAAGTAGGTAGAGTAACGTACGAGGTATACGTAAATAGCATCAAATCCCAAATCCCGGGACCCAAATATTGTATCAAAGTGGGCCAAAACAGCACATATTTGATGAGTAGGTAGATTATAGTACGGGGTATACGTAAATATCAAATAGTCGTGCTAAGCTTTCCTTCAAGTTAGCCGTACATTGAAATATTCAATGTAATCCCTAAACGCTTTTCGAAGAGCATCAACTGTGAAACCATATCTCTCGGCATTATAAATGTGCTTGCCATGTTTGTATTGCGGACTTTCTTTAATGTACCGTTCCATTTTAGCTACAGCTGCATCTGACAATTCCATCCCGAAATGTTCATAAATACACCTGACGGTCGCCATAGGCGCTTTTATAAAATCCTCATAGTTGATATCCATGAATTGAGAGCTCCCTTGGTTGTTCTCGTCATATTGTTTCCTGTAAGCGAGAAAACATTCCGCCTCGTGCATCATGTGGCCCAGCACTTGTCGCCCGATTTGCTTTTGGTCGATATCTGCGAGGAAGTAAGATAGTTCGACATACGACTCGTTCATACTACAAGCCGACGGTACAATCTCGGCTGGGTCCCGGACTGTGTATATGACCCTGGCATCAGGGAACGTGGCCAACAGCTGGCGAATAAAACTGGCGTGGTTCGAATCCTTCCTCAGTACAGTTTTATCTTGTGTACCTTATAAAAACATGAGAGGATCTAAATTGCTACTTAGAGGTTGACAAAAAAAGGAATCCCCATTTAGGAACCATTACTATCCCATTTGAAGCATCAATTTCTCTCAATTTCAAATATTAATGTATTGTTTATCAATGACATGGTCATTGCAATTTAATATCCTACTTTTGTTCATATGCTGATGACATATTGAGTTATCTCAGTTACCAGTTGTCTATTATATCACAGATTCTTTTTTCTATTGTATCTTGGTTACCGCCATATTTGGCGAGCAATACCTCATTGGTATTGAACTTATTTTACACTCGAAGACAGGGCCAGAAACCCCTCCTTGGAGGAGCCCTGTGTTCGTTTGTGTGCACGGGTACATAGACATACAAGTACACACCACAGCTATACGAGTCGTGAACCACTCATTCAAACACCCAGAATTACATAACGCACAAACAAACTTGTCTGAACCTGGAATCGAACCCGGGGCCTAGCGATAGTGGTAACCTCTCTGCCACTGAGCCACAACGGGTGGAAATATATAAGCGCAAAAGCCAAAGGGAAGGGTGACTAGAAACTCTAAAGAAACCCAAAAAGAAAAGCAAACTGTAAGTGTAAATCTGTCATAAGAAAAGTAGACCATATATATCCCAAAACCATGATCTAACGTGAAAAGAAACAATGTCTAACATCCCCCTCCCCCCTCCAATCGAGAACCAATATCAAAATCCAGGACCAGAACACCAAGGGGCATTTCATTCATACTGAAGTCATTACAATACACGTTGAAGAAAAATTGAAAAAATTGATAACCTATACTCATAACATCAAAAATAGTCGTAGATACTAGTACTCATTAAAGATAGTGTATTCAGGCTCAAATGATGTGGGATAGATAAAACATAACTTTTGTGTACACGGGTACATAGACATACAAGTACACACCACAGCTTTTATACGAGTCGTGAACCACTCATTCAAACACGGAACAAGTGGAACATACATTATGTAGATGCAAAAATGTGGTCCAATGACGTCGCCTCAAAAATTGACAAAATACCTATTTTTCAACGAAAACTGTGAATTTATTGAATAGCCTAAATCTCTTTACTTTATAACCTGGCAATGCCCCTGATAGGAGTAGACATACCTGCTTGGTGAATAAATGACTGGAGTTCCAATTTGTAATTCTGGTAGAGGTTTTGAAGTGTTTGATCATCTACTGTTCGGTACCATCTTTGATATGGTGCTAAATTCCTGTAGACTGTATGCGGAAGGTCACGTGTAACGAAATATCGCATAAACTGTAATTCACATTCATCTGGCCCTAATGCATCGACGGGATGTGTAGTTTGCGTCTGCGGTCCATATATATGTAAGAGATCTATCAAACACAAATTAAAGCATGAATGATACGTATACTCCATATGGACTTATAGAGTGTTTCGTTAATGCTAAATAATGCTAGAATATTTTACTCGATTACACTGGTTACCGAAACGAACCGTTTCGGTAACAAAATTTCCAGAAAACAAATTTTGCATAAAACACATTTTTTTTACAAAAAAACGCATTTTGACACACATTACTTTTTGTTAAATCTCAGTATCAATCTAGGAACCCTTTATCTTTCAATTAGTGAAAATGAATTGACGGCTCGTCAAAATATAAGATATTTATTTGATTTCAGATATTAGTGTCAGTCTCTGAAAAAGAAGATTTTAAAATGAAGTTGAAACCATTTGGCTTATATCGTAGTCTTACTCAATGGAATCAGAATGTAATATGTAAAACTTTTGTGAAAAATATTTTGCTGTCCTAACAAACAATGTCAAGATGATCGAGGTAATACCATGCTACTCTGGCTCGGCTAGTATGGTGACATTGCATTAGCATTCTGATACACAATCTTATTTATTGGGTAATGTTTACGCAATTCTTAGATCACAAGGCAGGTTACTTTGAAAATCCTTCTCATCTGTTTTCAATCCAAAACAAAACATAGCAGAATGTTTTGGGAACATCCACACCCCGGGATCCACACATCAATTTGAATGCAGCTTTTATATAAAGATAGGAGAAGGATGTGACATTTGCAATTCAATACTACAATATAGTTGTTTTTCAACTTGATATAATAAAACAAAATGCAAAGATTTTTCCTACATGTTCCTTGAAATGATAAAAACTAAGACATCTTAAGATCGAAAAATGTATTTTACAAGTTTCACAAGATTTACATGATTTACAGTCTACCTTTCTAAACATTGTCCCAACTATCATGAAACATGGCAGTAAACGGTACTTTTAACCTGTCGGAACATTATGGCTTAAATCAATGGTTCAATTATTCATAAATATATGATCACCTATGTTCCCCACAGCTTCCTTTATCCTCGAGTCTTTCCCATTGCGATCTAGCTCCCTTGGCGTTGGGTCAGAGATCTGCCAAAAAGGGGGTGAAAACAGGCTCTCATCTTGCGCAAGAAGATTAAACAAGAAAGTAGTTCCAGTCCTCATCTGGCCCACAATAAAGATAGGACGCGTGATGTTTATCTTGAATGAAATATAGGGAAATCATTAAAAATGTAAAAACCAAACGGATTGGCGCAGTAACATAATGTATTACAGTGACGTGTCGCAAAAAGGTGGCGCATTTGCTTTTTAAGGGTATCGCGTGAATGTAACTTTGATTCCCCGGATTATAAGATAATATTCTAATTAAAGTTATATATCATTTTAAAGCTGTTTCGATGAAGATTTTAGCTCAACTACACTCCGTTCACACTTTTTGCGCGTTCGTTTTTAAAAAAGAGTTTTTAACCAAAACATCTGGCAAATATCCCATGTTGACACGTTACATTCTGAATTATTTTTCGTCTTTAAACGCTCATAACTCAAACAATATATGACTATTATACTTATTTTTCGTCTTGATAAAGGTAGATGGAAGTTTTATTTCAAAGGATGAATTTTAGTAAGCGTCCCATATTGTGACGTCATAGAGTCTGAAAGATAGAATCTGTTGACAGCGACCCTTTTTGCTCATTGTTTTGTACCTTCAACTTTCCAGGTGTACATTAAACAAAAAATACGAGATCAATTTTTAATAAATCATACATGATTATTTTGCTCCTAAACTCTAGTTTATTAATAAATAGTTGATTTTGTTCACAAAAGCAGTCAATATGGTATAACGAAAATGGGACTTCTGCGCATGTTAAAATTTTTCGTCAAAACTCAACTTTTGTTCAAGTTGATACGATTGTCTTTCGAACTAGAGACTTACCTCATTCGAAAGATCATAAAAGACTTTATCTATACTGAAAATCTTAGATCCAAACATAGTAGAATACGCCGTCAGTCCGCATTTGATTTTTTGAAGTGAGTTTCGTAGATCGTCAGATTTCTCCGACTGATACCGGGTTATCTCAAATTGGTTCGTTTATAAATACGAATTTCTTTACCGTTGTAAGGCGCATGCGCAAAATTGATTTATAAACGTTATTGGTTGATGGTTTTTCTCCTGAGCATGCGTGAATCTGATAAACACTTATGACGAAGACCGGAGCAAACATTACTAGCTCTCAAACGAAATTCCAAGATTCAGATCATTTCGCCGTGTTTGCTAAGTGTGTATACGTGAATGACAAGCTGTTTTGAGTAGATTGGGTACCTGTTTTCGACACAACATTGATTTAGCTTGACATTGATGTGCACATTGACACTTTTGAGCATGTTAATACAAGTTTTTACACGCTTAGCACGAGACGGGTTTTCGAAAAATCTGTTATCTGATTCACTCGATTATCGTATGGATATGTATTTCTGCTGACATTTCAACACCACATCACATAGAATTACGATGCAGAATGATAATAAAACACAAAACAACTACTAAATGCCACTTGTTATTTCACAGGAAGTAAAAATGCACACTGCCTAGATTCTTTGTAAGGGTCGTCAGACATCGGATTGGCCGCCATATTTGAAATGAAAATATCGCTAAATAGAGGTCTGCGCATGTCTCAACATTTCGACTGAAAGTATGTGTTTTCTGTTGTATGTGGAAAAGTGGAGGACGAAAGGTTTTCAAGATTCATTAAAATAGGGCTAATTTACGCCATTCGCCTATTTTAAAGCACAGCAACACGTATATTTATTTCACCTAAAATATCAATTGATTCGTGTTTTATGATGCTCCTAGCCCATTAACAATATATATATGATATCAGAGTTATTCGTCTAAAATGTTTTGAGATATAGAGGTAAATGTGGAGGACGAAAGGATTTTCATGTGTGTACATTTTTTCTCAAAAACGTCACATTCTGTCATGTTAAAAGCGAGGATCCTCTGGATTACGCCACAAAATATGTAACAATGCGTGCGCGAGCTTTTTGCGACACTTCAGTATATGAAGGGCCCTATGAATCATATACTGTACATGAAATAAAAGTATGATGTAACCATACCTTTCGAATTTCAGGGCTTTCATCAACATATCTGAGAAACTTTCTAATCACAGCTGGGCTTCCGAGAAAATTTCTTACTGCAAGGCGTCCGAACAAATTGATTTTTTTGTCCGACTCGAGACAATCCAACTGAACTCGACATGGTTCCCTGAAGTCAAATTGTCGTCCCCGTTCCTTTATAAGTGCCTCGAGCTCCAGGACCGTCCTTTTGCTGTCAATCGGAAACAGCACGACCCCTGTTAGTGCCCGGATATAGTAATCGATTACATTTATCCATTTAATTAATAATCGAATGCTAACATCCAAAAAATACATTTTGACAAAATCTAGTATCGTAATAATTCTATCAAGGTGACCGAATTCTATCCCCGTGCCCGGGTCCCCGTGTAAGAATTATACTGGAAAATGTCAAGGCGTTTAAAAATTTAAGATTAATGACATTTTTGCTCATAAAAGCCATGTCATGTGTACAACATGATTTATGTGTCTTACACTCTAAACTGCACGTACATCCTGGTATGTCTGTATGTATACACGTGCATCCAACGTGTAAACCACGGGGACCGGTGTGGGAGAAATGATGGTCCCCCAGGGATTAGGGTCCCTTTTCTTAACGGCCCTTACTGGCCCTGATTGTGTATAAGATAATGAGGGAAAGAGTTGTATTTAGGTCACCATATAAATCAATGGAGAGTAGGACCATAATTTGATAGGATCTTCTACCCTTTTACACCGGACAAACCGGTCAGACTGCATCATTTTGACTCTGTGTAGATACACAGATTGTAAATGAGTTAAAGAGGGACACTGGGTATAAATAGGAGGCAGATTAATGGAACAGCCCAAAATAACAGATTTTTTGACATTTTCACAGAGCTAGTCAATTTTCCTACATTTCATATGAGCAAATGTATTGCTTCCTATTTTGCTATATTCATTTTTCAATAATTCGATGTTCATATTCTGCATTTAGATTTTAACTTTTTTTGTTGGGTTGTGAAATGACATTCAAAGACAGTAATAACCTTTTTTCAAATTTAAAAGGCCGCAAGCTTAGCCAATCAAATTCAAGTTAATTAAACTTACTTATCCCGACTTTCTGCATCATGATAAACTATGACATTTCATTTCTTCTCAGCCTTGAAATGGTGAAACAGAAAGATGCTATCATATGAGTATCAGAATGACTTTCCGTACCACTTTTCAAGTGATTTTAGTTTTGGACCATAATGGTCAATTGTGAACCCATTGGAATGGGCCTGGAACAAACGAACGAATGGACGAACTATAAATGAACGTACTACGAGGTCTCATTAGTTCCCGTGTACTTGCCCTTTGATCCGGTTCCCTTGGTGTACTACACTTTTGTACTTCGACCAAGATTCTGAGATAAAGATGATCAAAAACAGCATGTTATAAGTTCTGAAGTTATAGGCCTACTGTATGTATGAGTCGAGATATGCGTGTACTAACATAACATATAGTAGTATTTAATTAGTTTCGGGGTGAATTTTAAAGCCATAATAATTGAAATAGATGAAAATGGGTATCAAGGAACTCTGTATCAGGATTCTATTAAACTCCATTAACACAATAGATTATTACGTCCGTAAATACATAGGTGCTACTGCTCTCCGAGTCGATAGTGACAAAGCACGTCTCGATCTTGAAACACTTGTAGAACATAGAGGACGGGATTATGACTTTATTGAACCATGTTGTATTCTGATGGAGGGTTTATCAAAGGATCGACAGTTGACTCTGTTCGGGAGATACGTTGCGAATGAGCTGCTTGGAGGTGCAAAAACGATTGAAACGTTTCTAGCTTATGTGGACAACAACCCGGAAATCAATGAGGTATCCACAAGAAAAGTTATGCTCAATTCCCTCTAGTCAATTGCAAGTACACTCCTTCAACACGTTTCGTAGCTGGACGTCTTCATTTGATAGCGTTTTATGGCCCATTGATTCATTATTTTGTTCCTTTATTACACTAGTTCGGAAATGAATGACAAAGATGAGCTTACCCGTCTCGCCATCGCTTATTCGACGCTCTACCCCCGAACCATAAAGACTACCCGCTACAACTCAGACTGTAGGACTTGCTATCGAAGGTTTTATCTAAAATGAAAGTGAAAGTAAATGAACCACTTGTTTACAGTACGAATAAACAGTCTTGCTTCAAGACCCCGGACCCCATATCTTCTTCGACAACAATCAAAGTTCAACCTGTTTATTGAAGTAGAAGAGGTCTTTAGGCAAGACTGGTGTAGATATGAAGATTTCAATACATAACCAACAATGCCCTGATTGTTAGAGCCTTTTACGTTTAGGTATTAACTAAGGTCTCTTTAATTATTAGGCAATGGTGAAACCAAGGGCGCTACAATACCCGGGAATTTATCGGTTCGTGCAGTACTTGTTTGTGATAGCGCCCTCTGTAGGTCACTGAGCTTAATAGCCTACAGTAATACGGGGTAGGGTATCGGGAATTCGGTCAGTTTCTATCCGTCGATTACGCTATGAATTGAAGCAAGTGTGACCACTTTATCCACTTAAACAATTTGATAATTGATTAAATCTTTAAACAAAATCGATAAACACGTTATACACTTCCTATCTCATTAGAAATTAGCATGTATTTATGGATTGTGTTTTCGAGCAAGGCTCGACCCAGACCAATAGGGAAATCCTTATGCTAATTAGTATGACGTCATATTTTCCTGGGGAATCCTAGATTTTAAAGCCTCAGTTTGTTATTGTGTCAAATGTAAACGCTCTTTTGCAGACAGAAAATTGACAGATTAGCTTTTAACCTTCAGCTTTGATGTTTAAATATTCTTTTCTACCGGACTTCTTGCTGAATATCATAAAATGTTTGAATGTGGTAGAGCCCATGATCAGACCATTGCCTGATTGATCATTCTGAAATTTTGATTGTGATTCATGATTGATTGGCAAGAAAAATAATTCCTATTGTTTTCCAGCGAAGTCAAAATGTTACAGCTATGAGTTATAATGTCGAGTTTGCATCATGTTAAATTCTACAACGCCCCCCCCCCCTCATCGGATACTTACTTTCCCCCCGACCTTTACCCCCGCATTTACCCCCTTGCTGATTCGTAAGTGAGGTATGCCCGGGCCCCGGAGGTATGCTAGGTTGGGGCCCAGGGTTGGGGGCTCGTGCCACAGTCATAGACCCGTCTTACTTCAAATGTCTAATCCAATCTTGACCCCCAGAGGTACCTGGTGGGACAGTAAATATCTTCTTCCAAGCCCTCTGGACTGGTAATTGGCTATAGAGACTCGAGTAAGTGGGAAGAAGAATAAAGAGTGGACGGGGCCAGGGGATTGGTGCCCTACCAGCCCCACCAATTCACAAGCATACACAGTAAGAGACAAACACACCCAGGCTCTCCAGGCCGTGGATGGAAATATAAAACTATTTAAGGTTCAAACTGGTATTTGATAGACCGATATGTAGTGTCTTCCATGTATTGAAGGTAAAATAATCTGCATTATTAATGTTACTTCTATCAATACATGGATTGTGCAATGGAAAAGCAATGGCACAATCAAAAATGTGCATATCAATCGTGAATATCTCTCGGTTCAAAGCTTATTTCCAACAGAATCGTGTCAAAATATGTGTCTGAGTAACAGTTATACATAATAAGATCGCAAACTCTTACCAATTATCAGCCGAATGGCTCATTTTCAACGAAATGTCCTTAAGACAACAGCCCTGGGTCGCGCCTGAGACCAAAAACTATTTCAAATAACCCTCCCCTGATAATCACATTTATGCGTGCGCGCGCAGCTCATCCACTGAACGAAACGCCACTTCCCGCTGAAATCACCGGGTATTGATTTTTCCCTTGGTGAAACTGCAAGCAACATGCACTCAATTGACCTGCCGATTTATAAAATCGTTACGTCGTCATAACAAAATGGATGAACTTCCTTCGGAGGAGTGATTTATTTTATCATTCGAAAATGTCCGACTTGCAACTTAGTGTTAAAAAGGTTGCAGACTTTATATAGTGCTAAATCGTTACTTCTTTTATTTTTATATTTTAGGTTGAGATTAAAAATCCTATATTCATCGTTGGGCAAATGAGGACAGGGACTACTTTTTTGTTTAATTTACTTGCGCAAGACGATAGCCTGTTTGCACCTCCTGTATGGCAAATGCTGAACCCTACGCCATTGAATAACAACGCATGCGAAAAGGAGGCGAGGGTAGGACATGCACTTCAAAACATAGGTGACTGTGCCGTTATAATAATTCTGCACGTAACTTCACATTGCTTAACTGTTAATTGCTTAAGGCACTACAGATGCAAGAGCAGACTAGTACGTGTTAACATTTGATTCGACTTTGGTCATGACAGGTAAATTTCAAGGCCACCTTTTTCACAAAAGTTTACAAATTAGTGATTGTTTTGCCCCAGGGTTGTGTCATTCTCTTTGCAGTCGACAATGATTAACGACAATAATTAAGTAATTAATTAATTTTTTTATGTACACTAACTTACATGTCTTACACGATTTTTTGTAGAAAAGACACTGTTCCGAGAACATCAACAATTGTCTTATTTCAGATCTTTTGAACACGTGCTTTCCTGATATCAAGAAAACACATCCCTTGGACGCTTTAGGTCCCGAAGAGTGCGAAGTTCAATTCTTGCGATGTTTTGTGTCACGTGACCTTCCTTTAATGGCCCACAAGAAACTTCTATCTTACATGACGTGGTACCAAACAATTGATGATGAAACTCTAGCAAGGCTTTACCGTCATTACGACTTGGAAATCAAGGCCTTCGTTTACCAAATGGGTAAGATATTGACTAGCTCTATATTGAATAAATTAGCAAGAAACTATACAACAAAATAAACAAAACAAAATATAAGATAATTAAAGAAACTTGGCTTATTTGAGAAAATACCAGTTTTGAACAATTTTGTCAGATTAGAACGAACTAGAACAGTTTTATATAGTTAACGGGAAAGAAACGGGAAACACAGACATTTTCTGCCTTAAAATCAAAATCAAAAATCGTGATGAGGAGACAGTCGTACTGTGCGTTACCCTAAACAGTGTATGGCGCCATACCCAAACAGTACTGTACAATACTCTCAATGTACCGTGCGGATTGGGGGTGTAGTTAAAGAGGAGACAGTCGTACTGTGCGTTACCCTAAACAGTGTATGGCGCCATACCCAAACGGTACTGTACGGTACAATACTCTAAATGTACCGTTCGGATTGGGGGTGTAGTTAAAGATATCAGTCTAGTTACCTACTGTTTAGTATTATCATTTTCAGATCATATGCATAACTGATTTGTCAATTTTCACTTAATTGTATTGAAGTCGCTCAAGTAAAATTGTATTATTTAATTAATTAAACCAATCTAAAAAGAACTAAAAAAGACCTAAACCAAAATAAGAACAAAAAAAAAATCTTGATTTTTTTAGGAAAAGTGCAAAAGCGTGTACTTCGAAAGGATTCAAACCACATGAGCTTCATACGACAATTGATGGCAACATATCCAGATGCAAAAATTGTTCATACAGTGCGCGATCCTGCCAGTTTCGTCCCTTCGTCTTGTAGTGTAAACGAGACATACGCTGAACAGTATTATTTCAAGAGCGACATAGAACCACTGGTAATCAGTCACAGAGTGTTAAAGCACATGAAGCACGAGGCAGAATGTTTCACGTCATTCAGGAAGTCATATGACGTCACCAACCAAGGAAAGGGCGCATGCGCATTCCTGGATATCAATTTTAGAGATTTGGTGAAATCACCAATGGCAACTGTAAGGTCTATCTATGCACATATTGGGAAAGAGTTATCACCAAAGGCGGAATTTGCTATGAGACAATATATCAAAGATAACCCTCAACACAAACATGGGGTCCATTCGTATTCTTTAGAAAAGTATGGACTTGAGGCTGATTTGCTGAGAAACGAATTCAAAGAATACATACAATATTTTAACGTGAAATACGACAAATAGAGTTATTAGTATATAAACGTAACGATACTACAAGGTATTGAAGACATTTTCAGGATTCGATCATTTAATGATATAAAACAAGCTGACAAACTTTCTGTTTGGGATACCCCAACTGGTTATCGTTTGCGTTAAACTTAATTTAGCACACTTTTGAAATTGTTCAACGAGGAAGTAAATGTTTTCTCACACAGCTCATCGTATGAAATGTGAGATATTCTATCTTAAATTTAAACAACATGAATTATGTCATACCAGTATGCCTATGACGTCTCAATATATTACTCTGCCAATTTAACATGTTATTATAGAAAATACAGAATGCGGGATAAGTGATGCCACATATCACATGTTTACATGTAGGTATCAAACGGAACTCTCTGGTAAAATCCATTTTATCCTTACAATTTTCATTTTACACGATTCGGTAAAAATGATAATCTCAGTTAAAAATCACATACTGGTAGGCCATAAGCCTGTATCCCACAATTTATAATAATCTGATCTGGCTATGCAGACATGGCCTATTTTGTTCAATCACATATTTACTTACACTATTCAACCATGGCTGACGTCACCATATCTCATCAGTAGTTGAAGTAAAATCTTCTTTTTCCTCTTCATTGCTTTTTTTTCACTTTCATTGGTTTCATCAATGAAGCGAGCCACTTCAGTTTTTTCCTTGCCCTATAGAGAGTCAAACGCCTCTTCCGAGTCCTGAAAACAAATATAGGCAATTCAAGATTCCTTTTCTTACCCATCATAACAATAACGTAAAAAGAGGCTATAAGATCTAGCAACCTTGACTTGACAGGTACGCAAGCGTCCGCTAAATATCTAATGTACAACTATAATACATGCGATTGAAACCTTATTATTTACAATAAACACCACGTACCTGTCCTGGATTTGTACTTGTTAATACACAGTTTACTTACAGTTAATATTTTGAGTGGCTCTGAGGCACATATACTGAGAAAACACAAGAATGGACTAAAATTATGAACTTGGATATCTCAGCCGGTAGGTTTACAGCTTATATTCTGCTTCTTGTAGACCACACTGCAGATTTAACTCAGTCTTTATAACCATCCATAAACCAAATGGAACTAGTTTAAAGAAAATCTTACCTGTGAATCTTACCTTCGGGCGAGAAAGAGGACATGCTGTCTTTCCCATCCGCCATTCTTTGTTATCGTTACCACAAAATTTTGCAAATTGCCTTGACGTAACCGTCATGGTATAACAGAGTGATGATTGGGGTGAAACTATCAACTCTCCGTTAAAACATTTGACAGATAACCTAATGTTTATTTTCTCGTTCTTATGTGCAAAACACATAGCATTAATTGAGGATGTATATCTGAATCATGTGACTGGTTAAAATTGTAGCAAATAATTTGAATACTAGCGTAAGTAAGACTATATTTGGAAAATAGAAAACCATTAATTTCTCGTTTTTCACGAAATTCTGGTGACTAGAACAATTAGCACGGCCTTTTATGTTAGTAAAATGAATATGCCTCTTTGAAAATGGATTTTTCGTGGGTATAAAAGTGTCAAAGTCACTTTTTCGCATAGTGTGGCTAATTCGAGGTATGCACCTTTTAATTGCACCTGAGGTCATACAAGAGAGGCGTTGCAGTCACTGACCAGGACAGTGAGTATTTTGCTGAGGTTCAAGAGGTTCGCTGAGGTTCGACCAGGATGCGGGGTCTGTGGTCTCCGAGTCTGTGGACGCAGTTCACAGACTCAGAGTTGTGGTTGTTCCACTTGCTGCCAATCCAGAACAGGGATACAGGGCAGGTTCGGACGCAGCTCACAGAGGTTTGATCCATTTCTATCGTACATATGAATCCTCATCTTTACCTGATTATCCAAGGTGAACGTTCTAATTTCTTAAAGGTAAGATGTTAGGACACAGCCGAGCCGAATCGGATGAATACGGGCGGCGGAATGAAATATGAGTTTAGTATTGTCCCGATAGTATAAATAGCTGATATCATCTAATTTTAACAGAGACAACGAGACCGAGCGTAAACGTGCATTCCACATAGATAGTTAGAAACGAGGTAAGTGTACAATTTGATTGTGTTTATATCGGACAAATACAATGTATTATTTTAGGATACAAAACACTCATCTGTAATTATAAAAAAATCAGTATGAAGCATGCACATTGTTTTCATGAACTAGTAAAAATCCAATATGGCAGACGAAAATCGAGAAAACGTTTCGTTACACTGTTCCAGTTGATAAAATTGAAAAAAAATGTTGAAGAAAATCAAACGTATCGTATAATACAATAAAAGCAAAACAACAAGGCCGAAAAGATTTTGAAGGGATATCGATGTAAAATATTTTTGAGGTGAGAAGGTTGATCTGTTTCTCCGGTCCCAAGCCAAGGAAATGGACTTGATTTAGGGGAGTTTTATCTGAGTAATCATGGAATAAAAACGTTATTCAATGATTTCTCGTGAAATACAGAAAATATTCTTCCCTTGAACGTCTGTATTTCACTCTGCTAGCGCATCGTGAAATACGACCTTCTCGGGAAGAATATTTTCTGTATTTCACTCGAATCATTGAATAACTTATAGTATATTTCCATCATTTGTGACTAAACTTATTGTTTATGAATTTCAGTGTTGTTTAATAACATTTTACAATTTTTTATTTAAACAATTGCTAAATTATCTGACTTTGACTTTCCGGCTCGTGTCACTATATCGTGCCATTAAAAAGTTAAACAAGGAATGGTACATTTTGGAGTATGATACTCCCGCGCCATTTTCAATAGGTTTTCCTCCAAGCGGTATTGGACTTCAAACAGAGATGAATGTTACCCGCAAATGATATATTCATTGCGTGGAATATGTAATTTTCTTTAGTTTAACGAAACATATGAGTTAAAAATAAATTGTGTAGTTTTCTTAGTGTTTTTATGAAAAAGAACATGCTCCGACACAGAGGACAAATCTTTTGATAACAGCCTGTGATACCTCACTTGATTAATGACCCCGGGCTTTTTCACAATGATATAAACTAACTTTGTGCCAATTTTCATGCTTCTATCACAAAGTGCACAAACATGGCTATTTAAGTCAACATTTACAAGCTAATAGGGCTAACACCCCAGTCACATTTCCTGCGGCCGCCGTGCGGTCTATCAATTCTGCGGCCAGTTGCTTTTCTACGCTCGCCGCAGAATTTCCGCGCTCTCATACTTTTGCAGTCACATTTCCCACGGCAGCCGCACGGTGAATTTTAAATTTCTGTTGATAAATAATACTTTTTTCATTTTATTTACATCAGGACAATTTATAAATGTTATTCATAGTGCTAGGATGTAATATCAAATGAAAAGTGATCGTGAAACATTGACAAATAATGATTCAATCTTGTTGAGCCAGTTGATTTCTACGGGGACCTCAGAAATGAACAAATATTATAACTCCGAGTTATAATTTCTACACCTTCCCTGCGGCCTGTAAAAATCTGCATTCGCCGTACGGAGGCCGCAAGGCGAGCGTAGTTTTTATACGCTCGCCGCAGAAATTCACCGATTTAATTGTTCTGCGGTCGACTTGCGGCCGCGGTGCGACAAATGTGACTGGGGTGTAAGTGATAAAAAATACTTAAATGGATAAGATACAATTTCAACATATCTAATGCCCTTTACACTACGCCCCTTTTGATTGTATTACTATTTTAGCGAACAATGGAAACAACACGAATGGTATGTTTCCTCATGGTTATGATGTTACTCGTGCCAGCAATTATGGGAGAAGATTTTAGAGAAGGTTTCAAAGGTAAAGGAAAAAGAGGTAACTGAATTTACATCTCAACGGCATATATTCGCTCTTCGTCTCTTCATCAAATGTCTTGATGATAAAATGATAACTCGAAAAAGCAAGTCCAAGGTTTTAATTCCAGACTTTAATCCAGATTATTTCATTTTTATTTTCTAATCGACTTGTTTTATGAGATAATAGGGGTTTCAGCATACTGTTTTAATGAGGAACATGGGCGTGTTAAAACAAAGATACGATATTACTAGTGTACATGTATATTGCCTTTGTTCTAAGTATCTTGACAATTAAACATAAACAAAAATAGTTAAATTTGACGTTACCAATCTGTAATCAAACGTTTTTAACCAAAAACATAGGGACTGTTACTGTTTGTTTCGCCACGCTTGGTTAATGAATCAGGTCTTAGCAATAATGAGGTTCATACGAGAGGGAGAGCATTTCACTGTTCCATTTTTAAATGTACGTTATGCACCTCTATAAAAATGATACATTATAAAAATAAATGAAATCAATATTTTTTAATTCCTGTTTAGAGTACAGTGTTATAAATCATATATATTTTAAAAGAATATGATATCATAATTTTGTGTAAACCTGAAATCATTCCATGGAGGCCAAGTGCACTGGCTACAATAATCGGTTTCGATCAAATTATTCTCGACTATAGAGCACGCCAGGAATGGATGAACTTTTGAGAATCGATATGCCAATGTCAAGTGATAAAACATGGTGCGTTTACCACAAATAAAATATCAGAATATGCTTCATTCACGAATAGCTAGTCAAGGTGTGTCCGATTCCAGCCAATCCGAGCACTGTATTTCATATAACTGCAGTGTATTATTACCAATCGCTGCACCCAAGGTCATTGGGTGAATGGCTGTCAACGTGACAACTTGATTCTACTGATTCAAATTGATACTTTTCCAACTTGACCCTTCATTGAAAATATGTTATCTTAATGATTTCGAATCTTTTAGATGATTGCATAGAAAATATTTTGCGATGTGTAAAAAGGATAAGCTTAAAACTTGATGTACTGTGGCATTTTGTGAGGTCATGCATCGATTTAAAAATCATATTTCGGAAGAATGATACTCTCCACAATGTACTGGGTCCATGGCCTAATCCTTAAATAATACGCCTGTGGGGTTGAAAATTCCTTGAAGATATTAACAATATACAATAAATGATAATAATAGTTGTTCTGTTCTAAATATCGACAATGACTTTATTTATTCAGATGGTGGATGGACGAAGTATCAATCAAATCAAGGGATAAAAAGAATGAAAAACAGCAATGGTGGCGAACCACGGGGACTGTCGTGTCGCTAACTTGACCATTTTTTGAGGAAATCACAATAAAAACAATGGAGACGGTCGTGTCGCTAACATGATCATTTTTGAGGAAATCGCAATACAAATAATTTCTCACAGTTTTTGGAAATCGATATTCTGTTACTGATTTTTTAAAAATAAAAATATTTTCACTTAAAATTAGATTTTAAATTTGAATAATGATTTTGTGACATCGTGTTTCTCTCAGAAC